CAGCCAAAACTAAATATCGAACTGTGCTGGAGATTTATAGCCAATAGCCGATTAATTAAAAAGTGCAAATATCGGCCAACAGATATATCGGTCTATCTCTAATCCATAAGAGAAGAGAATAGAAGAAACAAGAAACAGTTTCATGGTCCAAAATGTTATGTTATATGAATTTATTGTCATATTCATCATATTTGAGATGAGTATTCTGTCCTTGCCTCTAACTAAACAGTATCCGACTGGGTTCCACAGCGTCACTGGTAGAGGCAGCGTGGGCCACAGCTGGGCTTCTCTCTCTCCTGGCTCACTGTACTGCACAGTGCACACTCCACTCATTGGCAGGAATGGATTAATTGCCTCTCGGTCCCCTGTGATCCAAGAATGCAATTACCTACTGACCCAAATCACTGCTGGCTGGAAGTCCGCCTCTGTCCTGGCATTGAAACACGAGGAACTGGCTTGTCACCCTCACCATTTAAGTGCAGTATTAATTCATCAATTAGTATGTTTTATTAAATATAGTTCTCTGAAAACACGTCGATCTGTTTCAGGATACTCTCTCCAGTGTTACTAAGCGTATCATTATTTCTCTCCAAACCCTATTTTTGATGAAACTAAAACATGGCATTTTAAATTTAGAATGTTAAAATCCTCTCTCTATCAGAACAAATAAAAACATGTTGAGACCATCACCGCGTTATGCCTCTCTGTATCTTCAGACTGTGCCCTCAGATGGCTCTACTGAAGCTATCCCCTGGTACACTCAGAAAAAGTAACTGGCACTAATTTAATCTGTGCATGCCTCCACTTCACTGTAAAAAAGAGGTTTATAAATAGCCCATAAAGGCGAGTGAAAGGTGTACCAAGGTGTATTGAGGGATATGTATTTTTCATTGGTTTGCCTTTTGAGGCTGTAAATCTGACGCTCTGATCAACCTGTCCATTCTAAGAGCATTTAGAAAGCATCTGAGGAAAAGGAGAGACTCACTTTGGACCGGGTTCTGGTAAAATGTTGTAGCCAAAAAATACCCAGGCTGAGAGTAAAATCAGTATTCCAGGGCAGGGGTTTTCAAACTGGAGATGGGTAACGTTAGTGGTACACAGGATTATAGAAGTGGAGAGTTGTAATCACACCTGATAACTTGACTTAAAATTTACCTCTTGCAGTCCCATTGGTCTGTGATTCAAAACTGCTTTTTCTAGTTTTAGGTCTGGTTATGTGCTGGATTAGAGTGATGAGACCTGGTTTTGTCCTGATTTTTTTGTCCTGGTTTTAGTCCTGTTGTACTCCTAGACTGGCCCATATACTGGTTTAGTTCTGTTTATCTACTCTTAGCCTAATTTCTGTTCTTGTTGGGACCTCGTTTTGATATGATGTAGATCTTCTGGCTCATGAACGGTTTTCATTATAAATAAATTTTTATTTAACTTACCTTGATGTAGTTTCAAATGAGTCTGGATATTGTCCTTTGTACCACACTTCAGTCCTTGGTTAGGCCTAGTCTCTAATTAATACTATTAAATTTCGATGTCAAAGATTGTAAGAAGCTAAATAATTTAGCGGTTTGAGTTTAGATGAACATGTAGTGAATCAATGCCTTTGAAGGTTAGCTCAAGGGTAAGACCCACTTGTTTTAGCCTTCCCATTCCAGTCCGTCCAAACCTGATGAAAAGAGGCCTTTTCAGAGCCTAAATTACATTTCTTTGACAGATTGTGGCTCTTTAGAAATGTCTTAATGGTTTTAAGCACTTGGCTGATAATGGTCTGCAGTACTTGACTTTGATAATTTGTGGACTTGACTCATTGTGATGTTCTTTTTTGTCATGAAGGGCTGAAATCATTTCAGATATTAAAATGGCCTGCTTTAAAAATAGTTTTTTCACCACCACCATTTTTTGCAAGTCTTATTGAATAACTTACTTATTGTCTTATCTGATCATATTTAGAGATAGACTGAAATTTTGGCCAACCGATATAGCCGATATTTATACATATAGCATATTGTCAGTTGGCCATAAATCTCCAGCACAGGCCAATATATTCTGTTTTGGGTGACCTTCAGTTAAAAAAATACCCATAAAGCTTTATGTCAACATTTAGTGCTGATAGATAGCTGCTTAAAAGTTGACTACACTGCTCTCTTATGGGTTTATAGTGAAAAAAGGCTGTGTGTGAGTTTTTTATAAATTGCTTTTTGAATTATTTTTATAAATAGAAAAAAAATCTAAATCTGCCCAACATATGACCCAAAAAATATCAGAAGAGCTTTTTGCCCACCGGTTTTTGGATACTGAACAATGTATATCGCATCAACTATGAAAAAAAACACCAAAACATATTGGTCGGTCTATCATATTGATCTTTTTATTCTTATTGTTTTTGAATTGAATGTTATTTGTTTCCTAGTTACCTGTCATAGTGTTACTTTACAATTGAACATCTGATGCCTTTCATTGTTTGAGCTTGAAATGTAAACTTAAGAGTTTGTTTTTCATGTCCCTGAAATAAGAGCGGAGGAGTTGCTGCTCAGTGCATTATATCCCGCGTGTTGTAATGTACAGTGTACAATGTAATACTTGTATGTTGAAAACTCTGGGCCACTGTTGCAATAAAGGATGTATATTGTTTTTTTTTTAAATTTTTGCCAATCCACTGTTGGCCAGTTTCCAATGGTAACTGAAGATATTTATAAAGCACTGAGGTGGGCATACATGCTCTCTATTGTTGTCACCATTAGAAGAGTGCACAAAGATGAGCAGAGGTGGCCTTGGTACTGTATTGAGAGGGGAGTGGAGCTTTTTTGTCCATTATCCATATCTAAAGAGGGTACCGTATAAAGGAAAATGTAATCTCTTGGATAACTCGGAACTATACAAGCATTAGTCATTTTTTTTACCTTCCACTGCAGTACTTTACTTTACAGTACTGTGTATCACAAAATGTCAATATCACAGCATTAGCTATAGCATATTGGTATAGCTAATTTTTAAATAAATTACACTGCTGTGCTGTACTGAGGGCACTCACTGCCAGGTAAATTCTTTTTATTTTGGACAATACTGGCACAATGTTCTGGTCCTTGGTGCTGTACTGATGTTAAATAAACTTCTGTGTTAGAACTCCAGTCTTGTGCCTCTTCTCTTCCACTCTTGGATTATTTCAATTTATTCTATAATATTAATTATGCTTTTGCATCTATTTAACCATGTTCTTTCTCTACTTTTTTATTTAACAGAACTTACTGTGTCAAAAAGTGTATTAAAATATTCTGAAATTAAACACATCTTTTTCTCATATTGTGTTACTTCTTTTTTAATTCTGTCACTTAAGATCATAATGTACTGTCTGATAACTGTAAGTACGAGTGCATCAAACTATTGTGGTTGAAACTGTTCCCTGGTGTCATTTTGTTCAGATACATTTTATGTGGTTATATATCTTGGACTAAAAGTAACTACACTGAGTTTCCAGTTGGCTTAAAAAGGCCCTAAAATCGAGTTGATCAGCGGAGTGTCCCAGAGGAGAGCAGCGGCTACTGGCTCTGTGCACAAACACAGCATCTGCTACAACAAGGAAAGTTGCTTCAGAAAAAGTCTGTTTCTTTACATTAGCCTTGTGTAAAGAAACTCAAGTGAAGTTTAGTAGTTTGCAGCATAAAACTTGGAGGAAAAAATAAAAATAAAAACTGAAGTCCTGGATGAGAATCCCAAACTGGCGCCCACCAGTAATTACATTGTGAGTACAAAGAGACATACGGCTCTAAAGGGAGCAGACAGTGTAGGTGTATTAATTCCTCTTCCTTCCTGCTTCCTTGACTCAGAAGTTCAGATTTAGAAAAATAGACCCCCCTCAAAAAGAAGAGAATAAACAAGACTAGTGACATTGAGTGACGCCAATCGTGTGCGGCGTGTGCGTTCCCACCACTGCTCCCTATAGGATAACACAGTCTGTGGCAATGTGGCAATGTGACTGTCAATTTATCAGAACAAAAGCAACAGAGATGTGTGAGTACATGTGTGTGGGCCCAGGAGACAGCGCCCCCACCCCCCACCGCCTTTACCTGGATCTAAACGGAATATAGGACACCACAAAACCACAAATAGATGTCTCCCGCGCAATTACAACATTAGACTTTATCCCCTGCAGTCAAAAGTTGGTGCTGAAGTCTTGAAATGTAACTTTCTAAAAGTAAACAACATGATGGGGAAGAGTTAAAAACCTGAACAACTGTGTCGGTCTGTGAACAGGGACTAGAGCGGAGGAAAATCTCTGCTGTGGACTGTAAAATGTTTGTAAAAGTCTTCACTGCGTGTTGTCAATAAAATGAATAAGAAATGCTCTGAATGCGGCTAGTGTATAGTTTTAATGGTCTCTTTTGATTGAACTAATAATAAATGAATAAATACAATAATAGCTGGGTAGCTTCATTAAAGTATTTCTTTAAAGGTGCATTGTGTAGCTTTTCTGTTGGAGGGTCGGGTTTGTCAAATACTTTTCTCCATGGAGTTGCTATTGCTTTTTCTGGAATTTATTACAGTATGGCACTAAAGTTTCCTCACAGTCAGAATGCCAGATTTTTGTTTTTAGATATTTTACATTCCAGGTAGAACATTTCCATAGAAACAAGCAGGTGATAGACCCCCAACCAAAAAGTCACATAGTGCACCTTTAACAATGTTCAAGGACATAACTAGAAGAGATACAGCACAAGAAAGTATTAGAAATGAAAACAAAATAACATGTGTTGTATTGAAGTGTTGCTAAACTGTCCTCCCTTTTCACACAGTGCATGTACTTGGTGTGTTTTTGTTCAGTCTAACTAAAGCAGATAGGGGTGAATTATGATATTAGGAACTGTGGCCGCAGCAGCCTCTCACATAAATCTTTGTCCAGTGAGTTATAATGTTGAACTCCACGCTGTTACTTCTGGACTGGACTGTAATGACTTTTTCCTTTTTACCTTTTTATATGACTGACTGACTTTGTTTTTGCTGTGTTCCAGGAGCCTGAGTTGACGACCCTCATTGCTCTGTGCACAAGTTAAGGTGAGTTATGGATATTACATCATACACTTTATATTACAGGTAGAAGATACTTAGGCGGTTGGATGCTTTCTTCTGTCATTTAATACCTGCATTGTCCTTGTGCTCCACAGTCTACTTCTAGTGACTGTTTATGCTGTTTTATGGTGAATGTATGATTGATTTAAAACTTGAGTAGAAGTACAAGTAGAAGTCATAGGAGTCAGGAGGTCATAAAATCTTTTTCAGTTGCTTTTTGAGGGGTCAAATGATGTATTCTTTTAGCTTTATCTGACTTTAAAGGTCCCATATTACGCAATTTTCTGATCTATGTTATGATGTTGTTTCCTCATCAAAAACATACCTCCATACACCTTTAATAGAATAATTTGGATAATTTTCAGGCCTTGAATATCCAATCTGTACAAAACAAAAGGTAAAAGGTAGCTGTTAACTTAAAAACTACAGTTTTGTGACAAAGGTAGACCAGAGCATTTTGAGCTTTGACAGACAAAAAATAATATAAATAATAAAATATTACTCAAACATACTGTATGTGAATGAAACAAAACACAACTCCAGGTATGTTTTTGATGAGGTAACAACATTATAACATGGCTTAAGGCTCACAAGAGACCATTTTGTGTAATATAGGACTTGGGCTTTTAATGTTGGTAATGAGAATGTTTTGTTTTTACCCATAGAAGCTGATAAATCTTGGACTATTTACTAAATTTCCCAAAGATGTGTCATGTGCTGAAACAGAAAACCTCCTGTTGCTGAATGAAATGAGGCTTTGTCTGGTCAGATATCTGTGCGCGTTTCTAAATGAACCGTGCAGTTTGTATTGCTTTATCAAAGAGCGCCTCATTGTGGGTTATAAAGACTCACAATATTATTAGCATGTTGGTTCAGTTTCATGTTACATTTCTAACACCACAATGCAATATGGAGTTTAAAGTTCTGCTTGGTTTTTTTATGTTTGTAATAATTTATTGCTTCCATAGATCATTACTTTACTTTTTTCCATTGTAAAGGCCCATTGACTTTCAGTTCAAAACCACAGAACTGATTCTCTGCTTTGAATCCTGCCCTGTGGTACTTTTTTTTTTTTAACTTAGTTTACTTTTTAACTTGGTGTTTATATTTGTCATAATCTGTATTCAGAACTTGGAAGTACAAATATTCAAATTATCCTCTAGTTCTGCATCTGTCTGTAGGGTTGATGTGCCTATGATATATAACTCTGAAGAAATAGCCAAGTTAACTGGGATATATTTTATTGCTCTATTTAAAGTTGTTAATTGTGATAATAAGGAATAACCAGCCTATTACCAGTGCTGTGGTTTATGTCGCCATTAGTTTGACGCCTGCAGTTACTGGGATCATCTTAACCATCGGTCAGTGTGAAGCAGCCTTACCAAAGTCTGTGGCTGCTCTCGCTGTTGGGATTCTTGGCTCATGGTTTGGTTGTTTTGGTCGAGCTTTCTGAAGCATACATCATATCGACAGACGGGGCCGGGTGCCAGCTGAATTTCAACATCACTCCTGATTCGTGGAAGAATTGAAAATGCCTAAGTATTTTCCCAGGCCTGACTGGAGAGATCTGGTGTGTTATTTGAAAAGAAGAATCTGTTTATTTCGATGTTTGCATATCTTCCTTTTGAGGAAATTGTCTACATTTGTTGCTGGTATTATTATTTAAGATCAAGCTTGCTACCGTGTGTAAGTAAACAGCACATCAATAGACCATCTTGGATTCAGAGCTGTATACAAAGCACTTCTTGCTTGCTAATCTCAAAGGCGTGTAAACAAGTATCCTTGGTTAGCTTTGCTTGAAATCAGTATGTGGTAAAAGTCTGTGGAATCCTCCAGCATGGTGCATGTGCTCGTCAATTACCAATGTGACTTTTTTATCTCCTTTCACTGTTTGTTAAACATATTTAAACATATCTTCAATCTATGAACAGTAGTCAAGTGTACTATTTGTGTTAAGTGAGTGCTAAAATAGAAGGTTTTTCCTTCTGGTTACATAATGATGCATATTTTTCAACCTCCTCAGTAGATCAATGTGGTATGCTGAATTTTGGAGCGAGAGGATGATCGCTTGTGAGTTATGGTGTTGAACTTGAGGACTGTGGTCTGAAAGTCATCTGAAATAAATCCTCGGCAATTAAATTTACCACACTGACCCAGTCCTCAGCTCTCACCAACTTTTAGTTATTTAGTTTTATTTAGTTAGTTATTTAGTTTTGTTTTTAATTTCAAACATGTGTCTTTAACATATAATGCAACTTAACAATCAAGGAAAAAAGGAATGTGGAAAAAAAAATATCTCAAAGACAAGAAAGTACAAAAAGTACAAATTGATCTCTTAGTGTGAACACTTACATTTGCTGTGTTCAAAAGGGAACGGGATGAATAGACAGTAGATAGATTAGCTTTTAGTGTTGTCACAGTACAAATACTAAGAAAAAGGCTTGATACTCCGTGTCAATTTAGAGAGCACATGGAGATGCCACTCTTAGTGGTAGACATGTATTGTCTACCACTAAAATAATACACAAAATAATAATAATAGTATTTTTTTTTTTAATATATATTTCCTTGTGGTCTCCTACGAGTTAGATTAAGACTTCTCTAAAAGCCTTTTATACTAGTTTTAACATTGATTTGTATCTGACTACTGATACTTTTGAAAACACTACTAGATTTATAGTACCGTAATTTCCGGACTATAAGGCGCTACATTTCTCCAACACTTTGAACCCTGCGGCTTATACAATGATGCAGCTAATATATAGATGGATTATTTTTTATCAACTAATAAGTTATGATGCTAAATTAACATTAAACATATTAACATTAAAAGCTTTCAGAGGCAATAAAAGCAGATGGCCCGAACTTGGAAACATTCTTGAAGATGTGTACACCTGCGGGTTGTAGATACGTGCGGCCTATGTATTTACAATTTTCTTTTTCTTTTAAAATGTAGTTGATGCGGCTTATATTCAGGTGTGCTCAATAGTCCAGAAATTACAGTATGTATGTCAGAGGCATACTTTAATTATTTTATTTCATGTTACGAAAAATGTATATGGTAAGTTATAGCCACAGTGTCTGTCCTTGATTTTTCTATACAGTAGATATAAAGAGAAAATGTCAAATTCTCCTTGTGTAATGAATTCATGAATTTGTTAGCATGCAGTGAATGAAAATATTCATGTTATCTATTCAAATTCTACTTAAACATTTGTGGATTTTATTGTTGGATACATTTAATGATTATGCTTTTAGCCATGTCAGAATGTTGTTACCTCTTCAGAAACATTCCTGGAATTTTGTTTTGTTTAATTCTTTATTACAAGTCTGTCTACATTTCTAAAGCTCAAAATGCTCAGTTCCACCTTGTGATGTCATAAAAACAGTCTAACAAAACAACCAATGTTTCACAGTAAAAGAGTAATGCCTCTTACTCTAATCTCACTCTAATCTAACTGTAATCACCCTTAATAATAAAAGTGAAATGCAAAAACAAGTCAATGCTTAAGAGTGGATACTTATGAGATTAAGATGAGCACTGCTGATTAAGAGGCTGACATAGATACCCCGACTGGGACTCCACGTGGGCCCTGCATCTGATTTGTTCTACTCAACACGAATGTATAAACGGCAATAAGGCACCACTCAATTAGACATAAAGTCATCCAAAACAACTACTCTAACTGGATCTAATCTCCCCACAAAGGTCAGCACTACCCCAGGAGTGAGCAGCGGACCAGGGACAGATTAAGCCAGATGCCACGCAGAAGGCCAAGTAGGATTTGTACGCTTTGTTTTTCAACAGGAGTTGGAACAAATATTTTTGGATTGGATTGCGGATAAGACGTCAGCCCTCAAATGTGTCTTAGTTTATAGCTTCGCACAATCTGTTTTCAAAGTCATCATCCGGTGAAGGAGAACATCTTATAATTGAAAAGTTGTTAGTTTGGACTTCACACATTCAGACTAAAAGTAATTTGAAAAACAGCTGCTGGAGATTCTAGACTAAGTGACTGAATTTCACAGTAAGACAAATACTTATCAATTGATACAAAAAAAAAAATAAAAAAATAAAAAAGAGTACAACTTTTTTTTACTTTCCTATTGGTAATAACAGCAATTCTGAACAATGTTCTTAAGTGGTTTTGCGGAAAATACCCAGCAGTTACAGTTAGCAAAAGCTTTCAAAAATGTCATAAAAGTCTAAAGTATTGCCCGTAAATTCAGAACTCCTTTGTAGTTACTAAATATTATAAGATACACAAAAGGATAATAAGAAAAAGTAGTTCCAGAAAGATCTATGCCAACGAACTGGTCCTTTCTTGCAAGATATAGTACCCTAACTTGCTCTATAGGTGCACTATATGTAAACTTTTTGGTTGAGGGTCCTTCACCTGCTTGTTTCTATGGATATGTCATTGCTCTGCCTGGAATGTTCCACAGTATGATGTTAAACAGCTCTGCTTTACAATTATTGAATTACAATTTGGTTTTATAGCTCAAAAATACCTAGAAAAAGTGGCTTTCTGGCTGAGCGGGGTTGCCTCTTCACAGATATGACTTGTAACTTGGTCTAAAGAAAGGTCAAATACCATACTGTGAAACATTCCAGAGAAAGTATTAACATATCCATGGAGAAAAGACTTTGACAGACCAGAAAAGTTATCAGAACTTTTAATTCTTTTCATTCAGGGATCATTTAATTTTTGGATTTTTTTCCGATTCTACTAAAACCAATCAGATGTGTTGTCTGTACGTTTTGGAGTGTCTGTAAATTTTGCCATCATGAAGACCCTCCTGGATCTAACCCAACAGTATACACATCACCTTAAAATAACTTTATATTTTCAGTAATACTTTATGACAGTCCTTCACACCTGGATTAAAACCTTGAAATCACTTTTCGTATTTAGAAGCTGTGAGGATTGAGAAACCTTGCGTGGTCCAACATAAAGTTCTAGACCTAAATCTTCATTGTTTTT